ATGCCGGGCTGGGCCTACTTCCGGGCCTTCAAAAACAGCTGCGCGTGGCAGACCGTATGTGCATGTGGTGGTACAGACCGATGCATTGGCGATGCAACTCAAATGCTTCTTGACTTTGCCCAAGTCTGAACGCCGCGTCTTACATCTGGGAAACACTGGCACACCACTACCAACCGCACGGCTTCAATCAGCGGCAATCTGCTCGCTCAAGATCCGTGGATCATCACCTCAGAGTTTGGAACCAAGCACCCTAATCCCCTGTACGCTTCAAGCTTCCACCTGGTCCTTCGTGATGATGGCGGTCACCTCAATCAGGAATTCTGCCACCTGCCAGGAACCATACGCACGATACATATGCAGCTTCTGGTTAGGACACCAAAAAACACGGCCATCTTCGAGACCTCCTTCCGGATGTCACCCTGGAGCTGCATGACACTGCCATGGTCTGGGTCCTTGATCAGGACTCCGTTGGTCTTGAAGGTCCTGAGATTCCCAGGGCCTAAAGCGTCTGCACGAAGGCAGTTGCAAAACAAACGAAGTCCGAAATGTTGGCCAAGCTGCTTCTTCAGCGCTCGCAGGATCTTCTCGAAATCAACTTGCAGGACCTTGCCTCAACCACCAGCGAGTTGGCGATTTGAAAAGCACCCATCAAGCGGTGCTTCGAAGAGTCATGCGACCGGAAGTTGCGCAGAGGTCACTGTGGTCTTCACCAGGAACATCCACAAACGCCGAGAAAAGTCGCTCAAGTGCAACCAGAGGGCCGGATTTTGGAAGGCGGACCTGGAAAGGCCAGCGGAGTCTCAGCGGAGGTCTTGGAGCCACAGGTGAACACTAGCAGGCTCGCCTGGTCTGGAAAACCCGCGACGGTTGTCCAGGACTTTCGGCCGTTTCGCTGCTGCATGCGGATGTGAACCTGGGCACTGGGCACTGCAGGGCAGGCCAAAGAACCTGGGAAGCTTGATCCGGCGGCTGGCCTTGCTGCCCTTGGCATCATCCTTCCCTTCCAGCATGACATCCATGGCTTCTCGCGGCTTCTAGAGGCCCCAGGACCAATGGGATCGGAACTGGAACACTGAGCCGAAAGCTGTCAGGGATGTGGTCTCTACCCATGAGCAACAGAAACTAACGGATCGGAGTGTTCGGAAACACAACAGTAACGAGACTAGACGTAGATGTGTGGGATGTGCCGGCGTTTCGTTCCACGGCTTTGCCTGGGACACCCGGGAGATCATCCCAATCCCAGAAGGCTCGCAGGCCAGCAGCGGGCGCCATGGCCTAAGGGGAAATGGCCGGCCATGTCAGAGATGAGAAACACATGTAAAAGAAATACATGTGTGCAGCTCAGCCAGCAAACTCGGCCGTGCCATGCGACACCTGTTCTTGGGCCCGGGCGTCCAAGCGACACACAGGGCTCTGATTCAAAAGTACATTCAAACTCCCAAAATTGCTGCGGGCCTGCAGGCACGTTTGATGCAAAGTATCGGCCAGCGGAACAACTGGAGGCATGCTCTAAAGACTGCAGTAGACAACCTGCATCCCAATGAGGCGGAATGCCTGGAGCTGCATAGCTCTCCAGTCTTTCCTATCGAAGAGTGCTGCCTGACGGGCGTGCCTTCCGGCTTAGACAGGTATGGTAACATCTGACAGTCGACACTTCCAGAGGCAGTCACAGGGATTTTGTCTTCATCTCAGCATTCGGAGCTCGACTCGATGAAACCAGTCCTGAGATGTCTTGATTTCGGCACTGCAGGCTTCGAGGATGCATGTGGAGTTCATACGTGTGTGTATGTATATATATATATATAAAGCGAGAGAGACAAAGAGAGAGAGAGAGAGAGAGAGAGAGACACTGTGGGTGATAGCAAATCTCTTCCAGCGGGTGTATCGCAAAGCGGGGAGAGCTGCCCGATGAGGCTCCCAGCATCTTAGGATTGCCCAAATGCTCCGAAGCACCAGTCGCAACTATCAGCGGCGGTCTCATGAAGCCGTGGTTTCTCCGCATCTGGTCCCCGTAGATGCTAACAGCAATTATGGGGCCGAAAGCAACTGTTTCAACCCACTGGGCCCTTCATGTTCCCTGCAGCGAACGCAATCAGGGAGCAGCCTTTGTCCACCAATTCCTCCAGCGCTAGGAGCAGGATCTGCCCTGGCCTCCACAGAAGCGAATCCCGGTAGCCGCCCTTGGGGCGGCCGCCACAAACAGATACAAACGGCAACTGCCCCTTCGGGGCAGCTTAGATAAGCTCGAAATCTGGACACGCGGCAGCATTTCATGCAAGCAACAGAATGCGGGGTCTAAAAGCCGAGGGAAGTCGGTGGAGTGCGGTCGTCCCATGTGCGCTTGGATGCTGATGCTGCAGGCCAGGTACCCTCCATTTCCTGAAATTCCCTGGCTGGTGCTAGCAATGCTACCTGAGACAGGTCGTGCTTGCGAGCTCATTTGGCGCCAGGCCCATCCTGTCAGGAAACTCTTCCCACAGGCTGCCCGACTCAATGACTCTGCCTCTTCCCAGCTGCACACTACACACCACGGACACTTCGTATGGCGGCCGCCCTCTGTCACCCTCTCGCTGCAGGCCAAGAGACATAAAAGCTGGGCTTGCGCCGAGCTTGCTCGTCGACTGTGTTCGAAACTGCATCCTCGCGCACTGGAAGGCAGCGATCCGATATATGAGAACTCAGTGCACGCTTTTTCTGGGTATCTCGACTTATCTCGACTGCTACTGAGCCTACTGGGCCACTTTAGACTTCGCTGCCTCACGGCTGCACGCGGGTGCTGAACAGGTGTAGGAACAGGTCGAATCTGTCCTCGCGGAACAGACACTCAAAATCATGTCGCAGCACACACGCACATTGCAGTGAACTTACGCCCTGCCGTATCCACCAAGTGTCGTAGCTCGGAGAAAAGCCGCCGGCGCTGCGCCGCTTCAGCAGCAATCCTCAGACGACACAACGAATTGTTTGAGAGGTTTTTTCTACTATCCTTCTCGCAGAATGCCTGTCACACCCGTTCACAATCGCGAGCTTTCGACGCATTTCCTCAGCCAAATCTTGCGGCAGGGCTCTTCCTGTTGAGCTCCGCTCTTTCCTCGTCAGCCTTCTGTTTCACAGCAGCTTCCAGCTTCCTCGGTCTCCGGCGGCCACTCTCTCAAAGTACCGGTGCTCTCCCCCCTGCTCTGTAACCCTTCCAGCGTGAGCCCAAGCTGCTCCCGGCGCATTGCCGCTTCCGCTGCGGCACGCAATGTTGCAGAGGCCGGCGAAGGCTGCAGTGCTGACGCTGCGTCCTACGAAGCGGAAAACAGCTTGGAAGCGGTTCTCGCCTCCGAAACATTTCGGACAGGAATCTTGCATCTAAGCCGAACAAGAATAAGCAAAAGAAGAATGACGAACCAGCTCCCGATACTGAAGATCATGCTACTCATCCGGAGCAGACGGGCGGCGGCATTCTTCATGAGGAGATGATAGGTCAGCTTCCTGGCCTGGGCAATGGTTTCACCCACTGCCACTAAGTGATTGCTTGCCTGTCAGAACACCTCCTGCATCTGTAACCCAAACAAATCTCTGCCATTATCATCACCACACGCCCAGAAGTATTGCTACCCTGCGGCTTCTGCCGCGAGTTCCAGTTCTACATGTTCTACTGAGCCCACATCACGCCGGCGGCCATCTTCTGGACCACTTCAGGGTTTGCCCTGACTTTGGGGTTGGCTCTCTTTCGGGTTCATCTTGAGAGGACTTGAGGGTTTTCTCTAAAGACAACACCAAACAAAAAACACGACACATGTTTAACGCCAAAAAATCACAGCTGAACCCCCTGCCCTCCCCCCCCAAAGCCCGCGCGCATCCTAGGGCCCGTGCACATAGCAACAAGTGCCCCAGGCTGTCAACGAAATGGAACAGCAACCGACAAGTTGAAACGTCAGTGATGCTGAAACAAAATATTGCACAAAACTGCACGACTCATGCCACTGTTTCTTAGCAGCTCGAATGCAGCATTGCGCCTCTCCCCTCTTCGCCATGTCCATCTCGTCTGGGCTCAGGTCCATCAAAACCCATCGCATTTGCAGGGCGTCCTCTTTCCTAAGGCATTTTGCAGCTCAGGGTTCGTGCCTTTAAAGAGATGCATCTTGCTGCAGAGCTGCTCACACAATCGCGTAAACTCCATACACTGCCCCGGAGATGATGCCTGGGTTTCCGATCAATGTGATACAATAATTCGGTTCTGGCTGCCTTGTTGAGAATCCGGTTTGCATGTTGTGGGGTAGGCTGGAATCCGGCTGGAAGCTTGGCATGCAGCAACCAGCACCCAGAGTGCCTAGAGACAAAGGCAAACTCGCTTGCAGGACTAGAAAGACTGCCGAAAACGCTGAAATGGCAGAAGCGCTCCTTCAGTGAAATACGGCCAAAACATTCTGCAGCGACGTCCTCTATGCATGAACTCGCTACCTTAACACCTTCGGCACATCATGCGTCCCAAGCACATCAAATGCCATGGCTTCGCCACTGGAAGCTGTTGCCGCGGTCAGTATGTAGGCATATTGACATGACATGCTGATGCCGGTTGTTCACGCGTGGAAAGACTGTACATGGAAGAGCTTGTTCCGTCATGAATGTGCTGTTCTCGCGAGCTGACCTGGGCCCTCAGCAAAGCCAGAACAAGATGCGATAATGACGCATGAACTGGCACAGCGACTCCCTGCTCCACTGAATCCAGACAAGAGGCAAGGAAAGCTCCTGCATGTCACAAGATAATGCTGTACCCAGTTCGGCCAGTTTGTGCCAAGTGATGATCACTGATCGTGATTCTACTGCCATCCACTATGAGGCCTGCGCTGTCGGCCGTTCGCGCGGATCTCTTTGCAACAGCCTTGAACTGCTCACGAGATCTCTCGTTGTCTCCGTCCCTTGGCTCTAGGCCTTGATGCGGTCCCTGCACGCATTCTCAGGCAGCAACGCTTCGAGTGTCGCCAGCTGCTCCTTGGAATACACGGATCTGGCAGATGCCGGATATGCGTACCTGCCGATCACCATAAATCATCTGCCATATCGTATAGGGCCTTGGAACATCACCAGCCGGAGCCAAAAGTGTAAAGCATTCCCAAGACTTGAACAAGCATTACGCAAATCAACGAACCAATCCAATGTCATGATTGGCCTTGCATGAATGTTGGCGAGCTTGCCCTCCATCGGGAATGCATGCACCCGGAAGAGCATCTGGCGGCTGAGTTCGTGGGGGCTGGGGGGGGGTCTTATGCACTGCAAGAGTAGTTCATACAGTACGTACAAAATGATCAAAATGATGCCGGTACCCACAGCGATATGCTAAATGCCTGCCTGGAACAAGGACAGACCAAGCATGAACAGGTCGGCCTGCCACCGCTCGGAAGACCGCATCTACAAATGATCCCGCTAGCATGATCCGGTCAATGCCAGTCAGCCGACCTTGCTGGTGATTGGAAAGCGAACAAGGTCCGGGTCCTGAGCAAAAGTGGATGGCACATCTTGCACTAAAGTGCTTCAGTACCCACCATGTGGAAATGGACGCACCCGTCGACAGTGCACCAAAACCTCAAAACAATCTGACAACGCAGCGCCAAATCAGCAGCTTACTTCCCGATGCCAGTCGCTCCGAGAAGCTCGGGTGCTCAGCACAGGAAACATGTGCCAATCAATGTTCTTGAGATATTCTCTTTGACATCAACTTCATTCACATAGAACCAGCACGGACCAGTGGCGAATCCGACAAAACATCTGGAATCCCCAAATTTCAGCCTTCTTTGTGACAGTACTGCACTCTGAAACATCAGCACTAGGCAACCTGCTGCCAACTCTGGTGGCCGAAACATGGGCGTCGTCCGCTGTGTGAAGAACAAGTCCACCTGTGCCGAACTCCCAATTTCATACAGGTCGTGATGTGTCGTGATGAGTTTTGCCGATGGTTGGACTGGACCTCACCTCCCGCACGACATGGCGAGGCGTTTCCTTGCTGAATTCGGGCCACCTTGGAAATGTTCGGGAAAGTATAAATCCGTTCTTCGAGAAAGGCATCGCGGTGCCAGGGCGGCGGCTGTCGATCACTTGCAGAGCCAAAGTCGCAAAGGCGAAGGTGGCTGCTGTGGAAGAGGATATTCTGCAGGAAACCAAGCGGAGCCGCATGAGGCATAGTTTGACGAAACACATCACCCAGTGCTCTTAGGGCCTCCGGTTTCAGATCGTAGTGGACCTCACCATGCAACTTCTGCTCCAGCCATTGACCGTCCAGACGTTCTGTCAAGGCACAATCCCAAGGCCGTGCAGGAACCTGGATGCTGCTGGTTGCGTGGATGAGGGACACTGCCGCAACATGCCGCAACCCAATATTAATCTTTCGTTGCTGCTCTGAAGCGAAAGTCCGGCTGCCGCTTGCCGCACAATGCTCTTCGTTTCCACCTGGATCATCGGGCGCTTGTTAACATTTGCCGCTCCACTGGCCGAAAACATCTCGGAGCACAACATACATTTGACGACAAAGACTGCACCGTCGGCAAACATCGTGCCCCGACCAAGACTTTCGAGATGTACAAAATTGTACAAAGCTTGACGATGGCAACGAAGCAAACACATCCGTCGAGTCTGGCCTCAGCCATGTTCGGGCAGCACCTTGGAGCCAATACGCCAACTCTCGAAACGCGTCGGTTTCTTCACCACCGAAACACCCCGAAACTAGCTCCCGCATGCCAACTCGCTTGATCAGGACATGATCACGGCACGATACCCGTCCTCGTCCAAAACGAAACTGAGCCGACCCGCAACAAGCCACGAGTATAGCAGAAGGCCACGCAAGCCCAATCACCATGAACGGTCACTGATAAACTCAAAACCGCATCTCGATGAAACAACATGTACCCTTGCATGCCCAAGCACGCAGCTCCGCTTGGCTCACCATGCAATATTCCTCAGCGCCCCCCATCAATGTGGCCAAACGCGGCATGGCCAACATCTGCCAGCATGCTGTCTAGCCGAAGGGTCGGTCAAGCAAGCTTCCAGCATCACACCACTCCATCAAAAGTTGGACCTGCTCAAACAACAAACATCACCCTAAACTGTCTGGAGTAGTGGATCGTTTGTCACGGACCTCGTGCTAATGCCAAAAAGAACTGCTGTCAGTGAATAACTCATGGTCGAGGCTGCACTGGGATCCGACCTCGGCACCTCCTCGGCCTTGACCAGACAGCTCCTTCTTACCAAGCTATGCACAGTATATCGGTCGACACGGCACATTCCCCGTACATCTACTGCTGGCACTGCTGGTAGGCCCACTCCTGGTGCGAGAAGTAGCGCACCAGGAACTCTTGCCCTGGCCGCCCTTGGCCCTGCAAACACCCAAACGCAAGCAATCGCTAGCGACAGCATGCGAAGCACAACAAATCGATGAGCAAACCGTAGCCAGCTATTTCGAAGAACGGAATGAAGGTAAATTTATAGAAAACCTGAGACTACAAACAACCTGTTTTTTTTTACAACCTCGTACACAATTTCCCGGAACGCCACTGTTCGGAAAAAGCTGCCAATTCAGGTTGACAAGACCTAACAGGCTGGCTGCAGTACAATGTGTCGCTATAGGGTCCCCTGCACCTTGCCAGACACAACGTCTTCCACATTTTTTGAAAAGAAAACTTTACCACGATGTTCTGAAGGATTGTGTGGCGACAAGTTGGACAAACAATAATTGAAACTGCCCGAACACGCACGCGGCCCTCTGGCGTTTCTATGGAACAGCGGCGGCTGTGAATGCTGCCATTTCGTTGCTGTGCTGCTCATGCTACAGCCGTACTAAAGCCGCTAACGCCAGTGGAAACAACACTAGGATGTCTGCACGTGAAGCACTCGGAAAACCTTAAAATTAACTATTGACCAATTTTGTCGGACACCTATACACGCCTATGCTCCGCAGCGCACTCAGGGTCAAGCACGTGAAATTCAGGTAAAAACCGAAAGTGCTTGTCGCTGGTTTGAGGACAACTTTTTGCTTCTTCACCTTTTTGTTTTAACGACTGTGAAAATACTAAAGGAGGCAGCTGAAAGGGGAACTGTCAGCGAACCTCTGCGTGGAGCTCTTGTAGCTCTGGCTCCGGCTCGTCGCCAAGGTCGGCGGCAGGGGGCAATTCAAGCAGGGAGGCGGCGAACGCTCGCTGCACGGCGACTGCGAGGAGGCCAAACCACCGCGCGACCGAGGCGGTGATCGCTACAGTACGGGTTTAAGCTGCCGGAGCACGGTGCCCCACCAGGAGCCGCAACAACTGGACTGCCTCTGCTGAACCATTGTGTTACCAAGGGCGAACAGCCGTTGGCAGCGACCTCGATGCGACGCTCGTCCGCAACTGGCACGTCGAGGTTCATGTCGGCTAAACTGGACGTTACGGGCGACGCTAGTGCCAGCTCGGCGACACACACGTGCGACAGCGTGCTCGAAAGCGGCACGGTGATCACCAGCTTTGGCTCAAGAGTTGGGGCCCGAGTGGAAAGTGTCCTCGACTAGTTCTGAACTCGGTTGTCGGGGCCTCGGAGCCTGCTTTCCTGCCTAACCCGAACAGGTTGCAGCTCCTCAACAGGCGGACGTTGTAGGCCGTCACGCCGCCTGGGGCGGCAGATGGGAGCAGCGCTCTGGGACCTAAGGCAACCCAGGATAAAGAAACCCTTGCACAATCTCACCGCTGCCTTGCCCCTCCGGTGCCGCCCGGGCCACCCCGCGGCTTAAGGTTTAGGTCTTGTCCCGTGCCCCTCTGGGTCGTGCATTTAGGCTTTGTGCTGCGACGCCGCAGCGCCGGTTGGTGCCACTACCCCTGCCGCGCCTGCAGCCAACACCCCGCCTCCCGACACGGCGCCGTCCACACCCCCTTGGCTGCTGGGGCCTGATGCCCCCTGCCTGCCGGAGCAGCCGTCAGCACAAGCCTGCCCCGTTTGCTTTTGCGATTGGGCGCCGTTGGCCCCGAAGCACTGTTTCCTTGGCCCATCTGCCAACACCGCATGCATCTGGGATGTGTGGCCCACTTGGTCGCCAATGTCCGTGACTTGCGTTGCCCCGCGTGCCGTGCCGGCTGGCCTGCTTGGGGGGCGGCGGCGCTTCAAGCTGCTTGCCAAGCCGAGCAAGTCGACCCGCCCCATCGTGCCCCGGACCTACGCACA